GAAATAAGTAAATGTTTTTAAAAGATCTTATCTGCTTCTCTAGGAAACCTCTGTAACCTCTCAAGGTGGTTTTATTACTATTCTTGCTGTTCCCTTTTCTGCTGCAAGATCCCATTGAGGTTACCAAGTCGACTCACCTCCACTTAATGACTGAGCCTTTAATGACTAAGATATGTGCTTATCTTCAAGTCCTTTGTGGCTAACCCACTGCCTGGCACAAAATACTTGTTCTGTTGAATGAATAAACTAAATGATTTATTGAATGTCATCCAGATTTATTGAGTAGCTCCAAAGATAATGGAGCTTAAATGTAGACCCTTAGTATCGCAGACCAAATAGCTTTTTGACTTTCACATCAACCTTCTTGTTCAATTAACCTTGCTAAACATCATATCTTTATTTTTCTGATTTTCTTTAGGAGCTTATCTAGTAACCTGTGTGGGAGGTAGTATTAACTTTTTTTTTTTAAATAAAGCCCAAATGGGAAAGAATTATACGCAGTAGAGAACGTGTACTGTTTTATGCCAGTGTAGGTTTCAAATATTAAGCTAAATATTCTCGCCTAAGTGAGAAGGGTGAGAGAGCTGAATCAGCCCCAAATCTTTTACTTAATGTTAGTATCACAAATGGAAGCAATTATAATTACTGGCAGAAATGAATCACTCCAAAACTAGGTCTGTGCACAGTTCTTTATAATAGTCACTTAGGAAGACTCTAATTGGAATGGTCCCCAGAAGCCGATATCTGTTCATTGCTGATGTCTTTTAAAAGTTAGTTTTCAAAGTTCTTATGAATATATTTTGAAAGTGTGTTCATACCACACATACATACACTGAATTGTTTCATCAGATTTTATTATTTCCTAAAAGTAGAACATCAACACTTGAAAAACAGACCCTGAAATAGTAGTGTGTAATTATAGTTTTTAGCAACAAAAACCATGATTCCCTGGAGAATAGGAAGCATGGGTTTTCTGTATGCTTTCCAGTATCATTCCTGGAAAGTTGGCACAGTGGGCCAATTTGAAAGCATTTTCTTTAGTGCCCACCAGTTAGGGGCAGGAAGTGGTCCTATCAGGTCCTATGGGTTGGCTAAGCCTGACTGAGCTCCCACTAAAGAGAGCAACCAGCAGGTACAAAGCTGGCCTGGAAGAAAAGCAACAGTGACACTGCCGTCCCTGTTGGGAATTGTTATTTTTCTGCCACGTTAGTAACCGGGACTTCAACCTCTGCTTTGCAAGTATCACGTTTAGCATAGAGATGGAAACACGGAGGAGAAAAAAGAATTACAAGAGAAATGGGAGGCAGGGCGGTGCTGCGTTTAACGGTTGGGAGGATGGGATGAGTAGGTGAGAGGAGGAAAAGAGGTTGGGCGCAGGGGTCTTCAG